GTCCACGTCCACGTCCTCGTCCACGTCACATGTCCACGTCCACGTCCACGTCCACGTCCACGTCCACGTCCACGTCCACGTCCATGTCCACGTCCATGTCCACGTCCACGTCCACGTCCACGTCCACGTCCACGTCTATGTCCACGTCCACGTCCACGTCTACGTCCACTTCCCGTCCACATCCACGTCCACCTCCACGTCCATGTCCACGTCACGTTCACGTCCACGTCCACGTCCATTTCCACGTCCATGTCCACGTCCACGTCCACGTCCATGTCCACGTCCAAGTCCTCCACTTCCACGTCCACGTCCATGTTCACGTCCCCGTCCACGTTCCACGTTCACGTCCCCATGTCCCCACGTCCACGTCCACGTCCACGTCCACTTCCACGTCCATGTCCACGTCCACTTCCACGTCTACGTCCATGTCCACGTTCACGTCCATGTCCACGTCCGTTCCATGTCCATGTCCACGTCCACGTCCACGTCCACGTCCACCTCCACGTCCATGTCCACGTCCACGTCCACGTCCACGTGCATCTCCACGTCCACGTCCACGTCCACGTCCACGTCCAGGTCCACGTCGTCCACGTCCACGTCCACGTCCACGTCCACGTCCATGTGCACGTCCAACTCCACGTCCACGTCCACGTCCATGTGCACGTCCACCTCCACGTCCACGTCCACGTCCAGGTCCATGTCCATGTCCACATCCACGTCCACGTCTACGTCCATGTCCACGTCCACGTCCACGACCACGTCCACGTCCACGTCCACGATCACGTCCACGTCCACGTCCATGTCCACGTCCACGTCCACGTCCACGTCCACCTCCACGTCCACGTCCACGTCCACCTCCACCTCCACGTCCACATCCACGCCCACGTCCACGTCCACGTCGACGTCCACGTCCACGTCCAAGTCCTCCACGTCTACGTCCACGTTGACGTCCACGTCCACGTCCACGTCTACGTCACGTCCACGTCCACGTCCACATACACGTCTACGTCCACGTCCATGTCCACGTCCACGTCCACGTCCACGTCCACGTCCATGTCCATAGTCCATGGTCCACGTCCACCTCCACGTCGACGTCCACGTCCACGTCCACGTCCACGTCCATGTCCACGTCCAAGTCTTCCACGTCCACGTCCACGTCCATGTCCACGTCCACGTCTACGTCCACGTCCACATCCATGTCCACGTCCATGTCACGTCCACGTCCATGTCCACGTCCATGTCCACGTCCACGTCCAGGTCCACTTCCCTATCCACGTCCACGTCCACGTCACGTCCAAGTCCACGTCCATCTCCACGTCCACGTCCAGGTCCATGTCCACGTTCACGTCCACGTCCACGTCCACGTCCAGTCCACGTTCAAGTCCTCCACCTCTACTGTCCACGTCCACGTCCATGTCCACGTCCACGTCCACAACCACGTCCACGTCCACGTCCATGTCCACGTCCACGTCCATGTCCACGTCCACGTCCACGTCCACGTCCACGTCCGTCCACGTCCACGTCCACGTCCACGTCCACGTCCACGTCCACGTACCACGTCCTCGTCCACGTCCATGTCCACGTCCACGTCCACGTCCACGTCCACGTCCACAGTCCACGTCCATGTCCACGTCCATGTCCATGTCCACGTCCACGTCCACGTCCACGTCCACGTCCACTCTATGTCCACGTCCACGTCCACGTCCACTTCCACGTCCACATCCACGTCCACCTCCACGTCCATGTCCACGTCCCGTTCACGTCCCACGTCCACGTCCACGTCCATGTCCACGTCATGTCCACGTCCACGTCCCCGTCCACGTCCATGTCCACGTCCAAGTCCTCACCGTCCACGTCCACCTCCATGTCCACGTCACGTCCACGTCCACGTTCACGTCCATGTCCCCACGTCCACGTCCACGTCCACGTCCCGTGTCCACGTCATGTCCACGTCCACGTCCACGTCTACGTCCATGTCCACGTTCACGTCCATGTACACGTCCACGTCCACGTCCATGTTTACGTCCACGTCCACGTCCACGTCCAACTCCACGTCCATGTCCACGTCCACGTCCACGTCCACGTGCATCTCCACGTCCACGTCCACGTCCACGTCCACGTCCAGGTCCACGTCGTCCACGTCCACGTCCACGTCCACGTCCAGGTCCACGTCCACGTCCACGTCCACGTCCATGTCCACGTCCACCTCCACGTCCACGTCCACGTCCAGGTCCATGTCCATGTCCACGTCCACGTCCACGTCCATGTCCACGTCCACGTCCACGACCACGTCCACGTCCACGTCCACGATCACGTCCACGTCCACGTCCATGTCCACGTCCACGTCCACGTCCACATCCACGTCCACGTCCACGTCCACCTCCACGTCCACGTCCACATCCACGTCCACCTCCACCTCCACGTCCACCTCCACGCCCACGTCCACGTCCACGTCGACGTCCACGTCCACGTCCAAGTCCTCCACGTCTACGTCCACGTTGACGTCCACGTCCACGTCCACGTCTACGTCCACGTCCACGTCCACGTCCACATACACGTCTACGTCCACGTCCATGTCCACGTCCACGTCCACGTCCACGTCCACGTCCATGTCCATGTCCATGGTCCACGTCCACCTAAACGTCGACGTCCACGTCCACGTCCACGTCCACGTCCATGTCCACGTCCAAGTCTTCCACGTCCACGTCCATGCCATGTCCACGTCCACGTCCACGTCCACATCCATGTCCACGTCCATGTCCACGTCCACGTCCATGTCCACGTCCATGTCCACGTCCACGTCCAGGTCCACTTCCCTATCCACGTCCACGTCCACGTCCACGTCCAAGTCCACGTCCATCTCCACGTCCACGTCCACGTCGACGTCCACGTCCACGTCCACGTCCACGTCCACGTCCATCTCCACGTCCACGTCCACGTCCACGTCCACGTCCACGTCCACGTCGTCCACATTTACGTCCACGTCCACGTCCACGTCCACGACCACGTCCACGTCCACGTCCACGTCCACGAGAAGGTCCACGTCCACGTCCACGTCCACGTCCATGTCCATGTCCATGTCCACATCCACGTCCACGTCCACGTCCATGTCCACGTCCACGTCCACGTCCACATCCATGTCCACGTCCATGTCCACGTCCACATCCATGTCCACGTCCATCTCCACGTCCACGTACACGTTTACGTCCACGTCCACGTCCACGTCCACGACCACGTCCACGTCCACGTCCACGAGAAGGTCCACGTCCACGTCCACGTCCACGTCCACGTCCATGTCCATGTCCATGTCCACATCCACGTCCATGTCCACGTCCACGTCCATGTCCACGTCCACGTCCACGTCCACGTCCACATCCATGTCCACGTCCATGTCCACGTCCACATCCATGTCCATGTCCATGTCCACATCCACGTCCAGGTCCACTTCCCTATCCACGTCCACGTCCACGTCCATGTTCACGTCCACGTCCACGTCCACGTCCATGTCCATGTCAACGTCCACGTCCATGTCCAAGTCCACGTCCACGTCCATGTCCATGTCCACGTCCACTTCCACGTCCACGTCCACGTCCACGTCCATGTCCACGTCCACGTCCACGTCTATGTCCACGTTCACGTCCATGTCCACGTCCACGTCCACGTCCACGTCCATGTCCACGTCCACGTCCACATCCACGTCCATGTCCACGTCCACGTCTACGTCCACGTCCACGTCCATCTCCACGTCCACGTCCACGTCCACGTCCACGTCCACGTCTACGTCCACGTCCAGATCCACGTCGTCCACGTCCACGTCTACGTCCACGTCCACGACCACGTCCACGTCCACGTCCACGTCGACGTCCACGACAATGTCCACGTCCACGTCCACGACCACGTCCACGTCCACGTCCAAGTCCACGTCCACGTCCAGGTCCATGTCCACGTTCACGTCCACGTCCACGTCCACGTCCAGTCCACGTTCAAGTCCTCCACCTCTACGTCCACGTCCACGTCCATGTCCACGTCCACGTCCACAAACACGTCCATGTCCACGTCCATGTCCACGTCCACGTCCATGTCCACGTCCACGTCCACGTCCACGTCCACGTCCACGTCCACGTCCACGTCCAGGTCCACGTCCACATCCACGTCCACGTCCACGTCCACGTCCACGGTCCACGTCCACGTCCACGTCCACGTCCACGTCCACGTCCTCGTCCACGTCCATGTCCACGTCCACGTCCACGTTTACGTCCACGTCCACGTCCACGTCCACGTCCACGTCCATGTCCACGTCCATGTCCATGTCCACGTCCACGTCCACGTCCACGTCCACGTCCACGTCCACGTCTATGTCCACGTCCACGTCCACGTCCACGTCCACTTCCACGTCCACATCCACGTCCACCTCCACATCCATGTCCACGTCCACGTTCACGTCCACGTCCACGTCCACGTCCATGTCCACGTCCATGTCCACGTCCACGTCCACGTCCACGTCCATGTCCCCACGTCCACGTCCACGTCTACGTCCAAGTCCACGTTCACGTCCATGTCCACGTCCACGTCCATGTCCATGTCCACGTCCACGTCCACGTCCACGTCCACCTCCACGTCCATGTCCACGTCCACGTCCACGTGCATCTCCACGTCCACGTCCACGTCCACGTCCAGGTCCACGTCGTCCACGTCCACGTCCACGTCCACGTCCACGTCCACGTCCATGTCCACGTCCACCTCCACGTCCACGTCCACGTCCAGGTCCATGTCCATGTCCACATCCACGTCCACGTCCACGTCCATGTCCACGTCCACGTCCACGACCACGTCCACGTCCACGTCCACGATCACGTCCACGTCCACGTCCATGTCCACGTCCACGTCCACGTCCACGTCCACGTCCACGTCCACCTCTACGTCCACGTCCACGTCCACGTCCACCTCCACCTCCACGTCCACATCCACGCCCACGTCCACGTCCACGTCGACGTCCACGTCCACGTCCAAGTCCTCCACGTCTACGTCCACGTTGACGTCCACGTCCACGTCCACGTCTACGTCCACGTCCACGTCCACGTCCACATACACGTCTACGTCCACGTCCATGTCCACGTCCACGTCCACGTCCACGTCCACGTCCACGTCCATGTCCATATCCATGGTCCACGTCCACCTCCACGTCGACGTCCACGTCCACGTCCACGTCCACGTCCATGTCCACGTCCAAGTCTTCCACGTCCACGTCCACGTCCATGTCCACGTCCACGTCTACGTCCACGTCCACATCCATGTCCACGTCCATGTCCACGTCCACGTCCATGTCCACGTCCATGTCCACGTCCACGTCCAGGTCCACTTCCCTATCCACGTCCACGTCCACGTCCACGTCCAAGTCCACGTCCATCTCCACGTCCACGTCCAGGTCCATGTCCACGTTCACGTCCACGTCCACGTCCACGTCCAGTCCACGTTCAAGTCCTCCACCTCTATGTCCACGTCCACGTCCATGTCCACGTCCACGTCCACAACCACGTCCACGTCCACGTCCATGTCCACGTCCACGTCCATGTCCACGTCCACGTCCACGTCCACGTCCACGTCCACGTCCACGTCCACGTCAACGTCCACGTCCACGTCCACGTCCACGTCCACGTCCACGTCCACGTCCACGTCCACGTCCACGTCCACGTCCTCGTCCACGTCCATGTCCACGTCCACGTCCACGTCCACGTCCACGTCCACGTCCACGTCCACGTCCATGTCCACGTCCATGTCCACGTCCACGTCCACGTCCACGTCCACGTCCACGTCTATGTCCACGTCCACGTCCACGTCTACGTCCACTTCCACGTCCACATCCACGTCCACCTCCACGTCCATGTCCACGTCCACGTTCACGTCCACGTCCACGTCCATTTCCACGTCCATGTCCACGTCCACGTCCACGTCCATGTCCACGTCCAAGTCCTCCACGTCCACGTCCACGTCCATGTTCACGTCCACGTCCACGTCCACGTTCACGTCCATGTCCCCACGTCCACGTCCACGTCCACGTCCACGTCCACGTCCATGTCCACGTCCACGTCCACGTCTACGTCCATGTCCACGTTCACGTCCATGTCCACGTCCACGTCCATGTCCATGTCCACGTCCACGTCCACGTCCACGTCCACCTCCACGTCCATGTCCACGTCCACGTCCACGTCCACGTGCATCTCCACGTCCACGTCCACGTCCACGTCCACGTCCAGGTCCACGTCGTCCACGTCCACGTCCACGTCCACGTCCACGTCCATGTGCACGTCCACCTCCACGTCCACGTCCACGTCCAGGTCCATGTCCATGTCCACATCCACGTCCACGTCTACGTCCATGTCCACGTCCACGTCCACGACCACGTCCACGTCCACGTCCACGATCACGTCCACGTCCACGTCCATGTCCACGTCCACGTCCACGTCCACGTCCACCTCCACGTCCACGTCCACGTCCACCTCCACCTCCACGTCCACATCCACGCCCACGTCCACGTCCATGTCGACGTCCACGTCCACGTCCAAGTCCTCCACGTCTACGTCCACGTTGACATCCACGTCCACGTCCACGTCTACGTCCACGTCCACGTCCACATACACGTCTACGTCCACGTCCATGTCCACGTCCACGTCCACGTCCACGTCCATGTCCATGTCCATGGTCCACGTCCACCTCCACGTCGACGTCCACGTCCACGTCCACGTCCACGTCCATGTCCACGTCCAAGTCTTCCACGTCCACGTCCACGTCCATGTCCACGTCCACGTCTACGTCCACGTCCACATCCATGTCCACGTCCATGCAACGTCCACGTCCATGTCCACGTCCATGTCCACGTCCACGTCCAGGTCCACTTCCCTATCCACGTCCACGTCCACGTCCAAGTCCACGTCCATCTCCACGTCCACGTCCAGGTCCATGTCCACGTTCACGTCCACGTCCACGTCCACGTCCAGTCCACGTTCAAGTCCTCCACCTCTACGTCCACGTCCACGTCCATGTCCACGTCCACGTCCACGTCCACGTCCACGTCCACGTCCACGTCCATGTCCACGTCCACGTCCACGTCCACGTCCACGTCCACGTCCACGTCCACGTCCACGTCCACGTCCTCGTCCACGTCCATGTCCACGTCCACGTCCACGTCCACGTCCACGTCCACGTCCACGTCCATGTCCACGTCCATGTCCATGTCCACGTCCACGTCCACGTCCACGTCCACGTCCACGTCTATGTCCACGTCCACGTCCACGTCCACTTCCACGTCCACATCCTCGTCCACCTCCACGTCCATGTCCACGTCCACGTTCACGTCCACGTCCACGTCCACGTCCATGTCCACGTCCATGTCCACGTCCACGTCCACGTCCACGTCCATGTCCACGTCCAAGTCCTCCACGTCCACGTCCACGTCCATGTCCACGTCCACGTCCACGTCCACGTTCACGTCCATGTCCCCACGTCCACGTCCACGTCCACGTCCACGTCCACGTCCATGTCCACGTCCACGTCCACGTCTACGTCCATGTCCACGTTCACGTCCATGTACACGTCCACGTCCACGTCCATGTTTACGTCCACGTCCACGTCCACGTCCACCTCCACGTCCATGTCCACGTCCACGTCCACGTCCACGTGCATCTCCACGTCCACGTCCACGTCCACGTCCACGTCCAGGTCCACGTCGTCCACGTCCACGTCCAGGTCCACGTCCACGTCCACGTCCACGTCCATGTCCACGTCCACCTCCACGTCCACGTCCACGTCCAGGTCCATGTCCATGTCCACGTCCACGTCCACGTCCATGTCCACGTCCACGTCCACGACCACGTCCACGTCCACGTCCACGATCACGTCCACGTCCACGTCCATGTCCACGTCCACGTCCACGTCCACGTCCACGTCCACGTCCACGTCCACCTCCACGTCCACGTCCACGTCCACGTCCACCTCCACCTCCACGTCCACCTCCACGCCCACGTCCACGTCCACGTCGACGTCGACGTCCACGTCCAAGTCCTCCACGTCTACGTCCACGTTGACGTCCACGTCCACGTCCACGTCTACGTCCACGTCCACGTCCACGTCCACATACACGTCTACGTCCACGTCCATGTCCACGTCCACGTCCACGTCCACGTCCACGTCCATGTCCATGTCCATGGTCCACGTCCACCTAAACGTCGACGTCCACGTCCACGTCCACGTCCACGTCCATGTCCACGTCCAAGTCTTCCACGTCCACGTCCATGCCATGTCCACGTCCACGTCCACGTCCACATCCATGTCCACGTCCATGTCCACGTCCACGTCCATGTCCACGTCCATGTCCACGTCCACGTCCAGGTCCACTTCCCTATCCACGTCCACGTCCACGTCCACGTCCAAGTCCACGTCCATCTCCACGTCCACGTCCACGTCGACGTCCACGTCCACGTCCACGTCCACGTCCACGTCCATCTCCACGTCCACGTCCACGTCCACGTCCACGTCTACGTCGTCCACATTTACGTCCACGTCCACGTCCACGTCCACGACCACGTCCACGTCCACGTCCACGTCCACGAGAAGGTCCACGTCCACGTCCACGTCCACGTCCATGTCCATGTCCATGTCCACATCCACGTCCACGTCCACGTCCATGTCCACGTCCACGTCCACGTCCACATCCATGTCCACGTCCATGTCCACGTCCACATCCATGTCCACGTCCATCTCCACGTCCACGTACACGTTTACGTCCACGTCCACGTCCACGTCCACGACCACGTCCACGTCCACGTCCACGAGAAGGTCCACGTCCACGTCCACGTCCACGTCCACGTCCATGTCCATGTCCATGTCCACATCCACGTCCATGTCCACGTCCACGTCCATGTCCACGTCCACGTCCACGTCCACGTCCACATCCATGTCCACGTCCATGTCCACGTCCACATCCATGTCCATGTCCATGTCTACATCCACGTCCAGGTCCACTTCCCTATCCACGTCCACGTCCACGTCCACGTCCATGTTCACGTCCACGTCCACGTCCACGTCCATGTCCATGTCAACGTCCACGTCCATGTCCAAGTCCACGTCCACGTCCATGTCCATGTCCACGTCCACTTCCACGTCCACGTCCACGTCCACGTCCACGTCCATGTCCACGTCCACGTCCACGTCTATGTCCACGTTCACGTCCATGTCCACGTCCACGTCCACGTCCATGTCCACGTCCACGTCCACGTCCACGTCCATGTCCACGTCCACGTCTACGTCCACGTCCACGTCCATCTCCACGTCCACGTCCACGTCCACGTCCACGTCCACGTCTACGTCCACGTCCAGATCCACGTCGTCCACGTCCACGTCTACGTCCACGTCCACGACCACGTCCACGTCCACGTCCACGTCGACGTCCACGACAATGTCCACGTCCACGTCCACGTCCACGTCCATGTCCACGTCCACTTCCACCTCCACATCCACGTCCACGTCCACGTCCATGTCCACGTCCTTGTCCACGTCCACGTCCATGTCCACGTCCACGTCCACCTCCATGGCCACGTCCACGTCCACGTCCACGTCCATGTCCACGTCCACGTCCACGTCCACGTCCATGGCCACAACACGTCCACGTCCACGTCCACGTCCATGGCCACGTCCACGTCCACGTCCGCATCTTCGTCCACGTCCACGTCCATGTCCACGTCCGCATCTTCGTCCACGTTCAAGTCCACCACCTCTACGTCCATGTCCACGTCCATGTCCACCACCTCTACGTCGATGTCCACGACCACGTCCAAGTCCACGTCCACGTCCACATCCACGTCCACGACCACGTCCACCTCCACGTCCACGTCCACGTCCAGGTCCACGTCCACGTCCACGTCCACGTCCACGTTCACGTCCATGTCCACGTCCACGTCCACGTCCACGTCCACATCCATGTCCACGTCCACGTCCACGTCCACGTCCTCGTCCACCTCCATGTCTACGTCCACGTCCATGTCCACGTCCACGTCCACGTCCACGTCCACGTCCATGTTCACGTTCATGTCCACGTCCACGTCCACGTTCATGTCCACGTCCACGTCCACGTCCATGTCCACGTCCACGTCCACGACCACGTCCACGTCCACGTCCACGTCCACGTTCATGTCCACGTCCACGTCCACGTCCATCTCCACGTCCATGTCCACGTCCACGTCCACGTCCATGTCCATGTCCATGTCCACGTCCACGTCCACGTCCACGTCCAGGTCCATGTCCATGTCCACGTCCACGTCCATGTCCATGTCCATGTCCACGTCCACGTCCACGTCTACGTCCACGTCCATGTCCACGTCCACGTCCATGTCCATGTCCACGTCCACGTCCACGTCCACGTCCACGTCCACGTCCACGACCACGTCCACGTCCACGACCACGTCCACGTCCATGTCCACGACAATGTCCAGGTCCACGACAATGTCCACATCCACGTCTACGTCCACGTCCATGTCCACGTCCACGTCGACGTCCACGTCCACGTCCACGTCCACGACCACGTCCATGTCCACGTCTTCGTCCACGTCCACGACAATGTCCACATCCACGTCCACGTCCACGTCCATGTCCACGTCCATGTCCACGTCCACGTCCACGTCTACGTCCAGGTCCACGTCCATGTCCACGTCCACGTCCACGTCCACGTCCAAGTCCACGACCACGTCCACGTCCATGACCACGCGTCCTCGTCCATGTCCACGTCCACGTCCATGTCCACGTCCACGTCCATGTCCACGTCCACGTCCACGTCCACATCCATCTCCACTTCCACGTCCACGTCCACGTCCACGTCCAGGTCCACGTCGTCCACGTCCACGTCCACGTCCACGTACACGACCATGTCCACGTCCACGTCCACGTCCACGTCCACGTCCACGACAATGTCCACGTCCACGTCCACGTTCACGTCCATGTCCACGTCCACATCCACGTCCACGTCCATGTCCACGTCCACGTCCATGTCCACGTCCACATCCACGTCCACGTCCACCTCCACGTCCACGTCCACGTCCACATCCACGTCCACGTCCATGCCACGTCCAAGTCCTCCACGTCTACGTCCATGTCCACGTCCACATCCACGTCCACGTCCACGTCTATGTACACGTCCACGTCCACATCCACGTCCACGTCCACGTCCATGTCCACGTCCATGTCCACGTCGACATCCATGTCCACGTCCATGTCCACGTCCACGTCCAGGTCCACTTCCCTATCCACGTCCACGTCCACGTCCATGTCCACGTCCACGTCCATGTCCACGTCCACGTCCACGTCCACGTCCATGTCCACGTCATCGTCCACGTCCACGTCCACGTCCACGTCCATGTCCATGTCCACGTCCAAGTCCTCCACGTCCATGTCCATGTCCACGTCAACGTCCACGTCCACGTCCACGTCCACGTTCACGTCCATGTCCACGTCCACGTCCACGTCCATGTCCACGTCCACGTCCACGTCCACGTCCACGTCCATCTCCACGTCCACGTCCACGTCCACGTCCACGTCCAGGTCCACGTCGTCCACGTCCACGTCCACGTCTACGTCCACGTCCACGACCACGTCCACGTCCACGTCCACGTCGACGTCCACGACAATGTCCACGTCCACGTCCACGTCCACGTCCACGTCCACTTCCACCTCCACGTCCACGTCCACGTCCACGTCCATGTCCACGTCCACGTCTACGTCCACGTCCACGTCCACGTCCACGTCCACCTCCACGTCCACGTCCACGTCCACGTCCACGTCCATGTCCACATCCACGTCCACGTCCACGTCCACGTCCACGTCCATGTCCACGTCCACGTCCACGTCCATGGCCACGTCCACGTCCACGTCCACGTCCATGTCCACGTCCACGTCCTCGTCCACGTCCACGTCCACGTCCAGTCCACGTTCAAGTCCTCCACCTCTACGTCCATGTCCACCTCCATGTCCACGTCCACGTCCACGTCCATGTCCACGTCCACCTCCACCTCCACGTCCACGTCCACGTCCATGTCTACGTCCAAGTCATCCACGTCCACGTCCACGTCCACGTCCATGTCCACGTCCACGTCCATCTCCACGTCCATGTCCACGTCCACGTCCACGTCCACGTCCATGTCCATGTCCATGTCCACGTCCACGTCCACGTCTACGTCCACGTCCATGTCGACGTCCATGTCCTCCACGTCCACGTCCACGTCCAAGTCCACGTCCATGTCCATGTCCACGTCCACATCCACGTCCACGTCCACGTCCACGACCACGTCCACGTCCACGTCCACGTCCACGTCCACGTCCACGACAATGTCCAGGTCCACGACAATGTCCACGTCCACGTCCCCGTCCATGTCCACGTCCACGTCCACGTCCACGTCCACGACCACGTCCACGTCCACGACCACGTCCACGTCCACGACCACGTCCACGTCCACGTCCTCGTCCACGTCCACGACCACGTCCACGTCCACGTCCTCGTCCACGTCCACGACCACGTCCACGTCCACGTCCACGTCCATGTCCACGTCTATGTCCACGTCCACGTCCACGTCCACGTCCATGTCGACGTCCATGTCCACGTCCACGTCCATGTCCACGTCCACGTCCACGTCTACGTCGACGTCCATGTCCACGTCCACGTCCATGTCCATGTCCACGTCCACGTCCACGTCCACGTCCACGACCACGTCCACGTCCACGTCCACGTCCAAGACCACGTCCACGTCCACGTCCACGTCCACGACAATGTCCACGTCCACAACAATGTCCACGTCTACGTCCACGTCCACGTCCATGTCCACGTCCATGTCCACGTCCACGTCCAGGTCCACGTCCAGGTCAACGTCCACGTCCACGTCCACGTCCACGTCCACGTCCACGTCCACGTCCAAGTCCACGTCCACGTCCACGTCCACGTCCATGTCCACGTCCACGTCCACGTCCACGTCCACGTCCATGTCAACGTCCACGTCCACGTCCATGTCCACGTCCATGTCCACGTCCATGTCCACGTCCACGTCCACGTCCATGTCCACGTCCACGTCCACGTCCACGTCCACGTCCATCTCCACGTCCATGTCCACGTCCACGTCCAAGTCCACGTCCACGTCCATGTCCATATCCATGTCCACGTCCACGTCTACGTCCACGTTCATGTCCACGTCCATGTCCTTCACGTCCAGGTCCACATCAACGTCCACGTCCACGTCCACGACCACGACCACATCCACGTCCACGTCCACGTCTACGTCCACGACAATGTCCAGGTCCACGACAATGTCCACGTCCACGTCCACGTCCACGTCCACGACCACGTCCACGTCCACGTCCACGTCCACGTCCACGTCTACGACAATGTCCACGTCCACGTTCACATCCATGTCCACGTCCATGTCCACGTTCACGTCCACGTCCACGTCCAGGTCAACGTCCATGTCCACGTCCACGTCCACGTCCACGTCCACGTCCACGTCCAAGACCACGTCCACGTCCACGTCCACGTCCACGACAATGTCCATGTCCACGACAATGTCCACGTCCACGACAATGTTCACGTCTACGTCCACGTCCACGTCCATGTCCACATCAACGTCCACGTCCACGTCCAGGTCCACGTCCAGGTCCACGTCCACGTCTACGTCCATGTCCTCGTCCATGTTCACGTCCATGTCCATGTCCACGTCCACGTCCACGTCCACGTCCACGTCCACGTCCACGTCCACGTCCACGTCCACGTCCATGTCCACGTCCACCTCCACGTCCACGTCGACGTCCATGTCCACGTCCACGTCCAAGTCCAAGTCCACGTCCACGTCCACGTCCACGTCTATGTCCACGTCTACGTCCAAGTCCATGTCCACGTCCACGTCCACGTCCACGTCCACGTCCACGTCCACGTTCACATCCATGACCACGTCCACGTCCACGTCCACGTTCACGTCCATGTCCACGTCCACGTCCACGTCCACTTCCCTGTCCACGTCCACGTCCACGTCCACGTCCACGTCCACGTCCAAGTCCTCCACGTCCAATTCCTCCACGTCTACGTCCACGTCCACGTCCACGTCCACGTACACGTCCACGTCCACGTCCATGTCCACGTCCACGTCCACGTCCACGTCCACGTCCTAGTCCATGTCCATATCCATGTCCACATCCACGTCCACGTCCACGTCCATGTCGACATCCACGTCCACGTCCACATTCATGTCGACGTCCATGTCCATGTCCTCATCCATGTCCACGTCCACGTCCAGGTCCACTTCCCTATCCACGTCCACGTCCACGTCCACGTCCATGTCCACGTCCACGTCCACGTCTACGTCCATGTCCACGTCAACGTCCACGTCCACGTCCACGTCCACGTCCATGTCCATGTCCACGTCCAAGTCCTCCACGTGTACGTCCACGTCCACGTCCACATCCACGTCCACGTCCACGACCACGTCGACGTCCATGTCCACGTCCACGTCCACGTCCACGTCCATGTCCACGTCCACGTCCACATCCACGTCCATGTCCACGTCCACCTCCACGTCCACGTCCACGTCCACGTCCATGTCCACGTCCAAGTCGTCCACGTCTACGTCCACGTCCACGTCCACGTCCACGTCCATGTCCACGTCCACGTCCACGTCCACGTCCACGTCCACGTCCACGTCCATGTCCACGTCCATGTCCACGTCCACGTCCACGTCCACGTTCATCTCCACGTCCACGTCCACGTCCACGTCCATCTCCACGTCCATGTCCAGGTCCACGTCCACGTCCACGTCCATGTCCACGTCCACGTCCACGTCCATGTCCACGTCCACGTCCACGTCCATGTCCACGTCCACGTCCACGTCCACGTCCACGACCACGTCCACGTCCACGTCCACGTCCATGACCACGTCCACGTCTACGTCCATGTCCACGTCAACGTCCACGTCCACGTCCACGTCCACGTCCATGTCCATGTCCACGTCCAAGTCCTCCACGTGTACGTCCACGTCCACGTCCACATCCACGTCCACGACCACGTCGACGTCCATGTCCACGTCCACGTCCACGTCCACGTCCATGTCCACGTCCACGTCCACATCCACGTCCATGTCCACGTCCACCTCCACGTCCACGTCCACGTCCACGTCCATGTCCACGTCCAAGTCGTCCACGTCTACGTCCACGTCCACGTCCACGTCCACGTCCATGTCCACGTCCACGTCCACGTCCACGTCCATGTCCACCTCCATGTCCACGTCCACGTCCACGTCCACGTTCATCTCCACGTCCACGTCCACGTCCACGTCCATCTCCACGTCCATGTCCAGGTCCACGTCCACGTCCACGTCCATGTCCACGTCCACGTCCACGTCCATGTCCACGTCCACGTCCACGTCCATGTCCACGTCCACGTCCACGTCCACGTCCACGTCCATGTCCACGTCCATGTCCACGTCCACGTCCATGTCCACGTCCACGTCCATGTCCACGTCCACGTCAACGTTCACGTCGACGTCTACGTCCACGTCCATCTCCACGTCCACGTCCACGTCCACGTCCACGTCCACGTCCACGTCCACGTTGCCAAGTCCACGTCCACGTCCACGTCCACTTCCACGTCCACGTCCACGTCCACGTGCACGACCACGTATACGTCCACGTCCACGTCCACGACAATGTCCACGTCCACGTCCACGTCCACGTCCATGTCCACGTCCTCGTCCACGTCCACGTCCACGTCCACGTCCATGTCCACGTCCACGTCCACGTCCACGTCCACCTCCACGTCCACGTCCACGTCCACGTCCACGTCCACGTCCACGTCCAAGTCCTCCACGTCTACGTCCACGTCCACGTCCACGTACACGTCCACGTCCACGTCCATGTCCACGTCCACGTCCACGTCCACGTCCACGTCCATGTCCATGTCCATGTCCACATCCACGTCCACGTCCACGTCCACGTCCATGTCCACGTCCACGTCCACGTCCACGTCCACATCCATGTCCACGACCATGTCCACGTCCACATCCATGTCCACGTCCATGTCCACGTCAACGTCCAGGTCCACTTCCCTATCCACGTCCACGTCCACGTCCACGTCCATGTCCACGTCCACGTCCACGTCTACGTCCATGTCCACGTCAACGTCCACGTCCACATCCACGTCCACGTCCATGTCCATGTCCACGTTCAAGTCCTCCACGTCCACGTCCACGTCCACGTCCACATCCACGTCCATGTCCACGACCACGTCGACGTCCATGTCCACGTCCACGTCCACGTCCACGTCCACGTCCATGTCCACGTCCACCTCCACGTCCACGTCCACGTCCACGTCCACGTCCATGTCTACGTCCAAGTCGTCCACGTCCACGTCCACGTCCACGTCCACGTCCATGTCCACGTCCACCTCCACGTCCACGTCCACGTCCACGTCCACGTCCATGTCTACGTCCAAGTCGTCCACGTCCACGTCCACGTCCACATCCACGTCCACGTCCACGTCCACGACCACGTCGACGTCCATGTCCACGTCCACGTCCACGTCCACGTCCACGTCCACGTCCACGTCCACGTCCATGTCCACGTCCACGTCCACGTCCACGTCCATGTCCACGTCCGTGTCCACGTCCATGTCCACGTCCACGTCCACGTCCACGTTCATATCCACGTCCACGTCCACGTCCATCTCCATGTCCATGTCCACGTCCACGTCCACGTCCACGTCCATGTCCATGTCCATGTCCACGTCCACGTCCACGTCTACGTCCACGTCCATGTCCACGTCCATGTCCTCCACGTCCACGTCCACGTCCATGTCCACGTCCACGTCCATGTCGACGTCCACGTCCACGTCCACGTCCACGTCCACGTCCATGACCACGTCCATGTCCACGTCCACGTCCACGTCCACGTCGACGTCCACGACAATGTCCACGTCTACGTCCACGTCCACGTCCATGTCCACGTCCATGTCCACGTCCATGTCCACGTCCACGTCCACGTCCATGTCCACGTCCACGTCCACGTCCACGTCCACGTCCATGTCCACGTCCACCTCCACGTCCACGTCCACGTCCACGTCCATGTCCACGTCCAAGTCGTCCACGTCCACGTCCACGTCCACGTCCATGTCCACGTCCACGTCCACGTCCACGTCCATGTCCACGTCCGTGTCCACGTCCATGTCCTTGTCCACGTCCACGTCCACGTTCATATCCACGTCCACGTCCACGTCCATCTCCATGTCCATGTCCACGTCCACGTCCACGTCCACGTCCATGTCCATGTCCACGTCCTCGTCCACGTCCACGTCTACGTCCACGTCCATGTCCACGTCCATGTCCTCCACGTCCACGTCCATGTCCACGTCCACGTCCACGTCCACGTCCACGTCCATGACCACGTCCATGTCCAAGTCCACGTCCACGTCCACGTCGACGTCCACGACAATGTCCACGTCTACGTCCACGTCCACGTCCACGTCCACGTCCATGTCCACGTCCACGTCCACGTCCACGTCCACGTCCACGTCCATGTCCACGTCCATGTCCACGTCCACGTCCACGTCCACGTCCTCGACCACGTCCACGTCCACATCCACGTCCACGTCCAAGACCACGTCCACGTCCAAGTCCACGTCCACGTCCACGACAATGTCCACGTCCACGACAATGTCCACGTCTACGTCCACGTCCACGTCCATGTCCACGTCCACGTCCACGTCCACGTCCAGGTCCACGTCCACGTCCAGGTCCAGGTCCAGGTCCACGTCCACGTCCACGTCCATGTCCATGTCCACGTCCACGTCCCAACCACGTCCACGTCCACGTCTACGTCCACGTCCATGTCCACGTCCACGTCCACGTCCACGTCCACGTCCATGTCCACGTCCACGTCCACGTCCATGTCCACGTCCATGTCCACGTCCATGTCCACGTCCACGTCCACGTCCATGTCCACGTCCACGTCCACGTCCACGTCCATCTCCACGTCCATGTCCACGTCCACGTCCACGTCCACGTCCATGTCTATGTCCACGTCCAAGTCCACGTCTACGTCCAAGTCCATGTCCACGTCCATGTCCTCCACGTCCACGTCCACTTCCATGTCCACGTCCACGTCCACGTCCATGTCCACGTCCACGACCACGTCCACGTTTACGTCCACGTCCACGACCACGTCCACGTCCACATCCACGTCCACGTCCACGTCCACGACAATGTCCAGGTCCACGACAATGTCCACGTCCACGTCGACGTCCACGTCCACGTCCACGACCACGTCCACGTCTACGTCCACGTCCACGACAATGTCCACGTCCACGTCCACGTCCACGTCGACGTCCATGTCCATGTCCATGTCCACGTCCACGTCTACGTCCACGTCCACGTCCATGTCCACGTCCACGTCCACGTCCACGACCACGTCCACGTCCACGTCCACGTCCAAGACCACGTCCACGTCCACGTCCACGTCCACGACAATGTCCACGTCCAGGACAATGTCCACGTCTACGTCCACGTCCACATCCATGTCCACGTCCACGTCCACGTCCAGGTCCACGTCCAGGTCCACGTCCACGTCCACATCCACGTCCACGTCCACGTCTACGTCCACGTCCACGTCCACGTCCACGTCCATTTCCACATCCACGTCCATGTCCAAGTCCACGTCCACGTCCACGTCCACGTCCACGTCGACGTCCATGTCCACGTCCACGTCCACGTCCATGTCCACGTCCACGTCCACGTCCACGTTCACGTCCACGTCCACGTCCATGTCCACGTCCATGTCCTCCACGTCCACGTCCACGTCCATGTCCACGTCCAGGTCCACTTCCATGTCCACGTCCACGTCCACGTCTACGTCCACGTCCACGACCACGTCCACGTCCAAGACCACGTCCACGTCCACGTCCACGTCCACGACCACGTCCACGTCCACGACCACGTCCACGTCCATGTCCACGTCCACATCCACGTCCATGTCGACGTCCACGTCCACGTCCACGTCCACGTCCACGTCCACGTCTACGTCCACGTCCAAGACCACGTCCACGTCCACGTCCACGTCCACGTCCACGACAATGTCCACGTCCAGGACAATGTCCAAGTCTACGTCCACGTCCACGTCCATGTCCACGTCCACGTACACGTCCAGGTCCACGTCCAGGTCCACGTCCACGTCCAGGTCCACGTCCACGTCCACGTCCACGTCCATGTCCACGTCCACGTCCACGTCTATGTCCACGTTCACGTCCATGTCCACGTCCACGTCCACGTCCACGTCCATGTCCACGTCCACGTCCACATCCACGTCCATGTCCACGTCCACGTCTACGTCCACGTCCACGTCCATCTCCACGTCCACGTCCACGTCTACGTCCACGTCCACGTCCACGTCCATGTCCACATCCACGTCCATGTCCAAGTCCACGTCCACGTCCACGTCCACGTCCATGTCCACGTCCACGTCCACGTCCATGTCCACGTCCACGTCCACGTCCACGTTCACGTCCACGTCCACGTCCATGTCCACGTCCATGTCCTCCACGTCCACGTCCACGTCCATGTCCACGTCCAGGTCCACTTCCATGTCCACGTCCACGTCCACGTCTACGTCCACGTCCACGACCACGTCCACGTCCACGTCCACGTCCACGTCCACGACCACGTCCACGTCCACGACCACGTCCACGTCCATGTCCACGTCCACATCCACGTCCATGTCGACGTCCACGTCCACGTCCACGTCCACGTCCACGTCCACCTCCACGTCCACGTCCACGTCCACGTCCACCTCCACGTCCAAGTCCACGTCCACGTCCACGTCCACGTCCACGTCCAAGTCCTCCACGTCTACGTCCACGTCCACGTCCACGTTCACGTACACGTCGACGTCCATGTCTACGTCCACGTCCACGTCCACGTCCACGTCCACGTCCATGTCCACATCCACGTCCACGTCCACGTCCACGTCCACGTCCACGTCCACATCCATGTCCACGTCCACATCCATGTCCACGTCCATGTCCACGTCCACATCCATGTCCATATCCATGTCCACGTCCACGTCCAGGTCCACGTCCCTATCCACGTCCACGTCCACGTCCACGTCCACGTCCATGTCCACGTCCACGTCCACGTCCACGTCCATGTCCACGTCAACGTCCACGTCCACGTCCACGTCCACGTCCATGTCCATGTCCACGTCCACATCCACGTCCATGTCCACGTCCAAGTCCTCCACGTCCACGTCCACGTCCACATCCACGTCCATGTCCACGACCACGTTGACGTCCATGTCCACGTCCACGTCCACGTCCCTGTCCATGTCCACGTCCACGTCCACGTCCACGTCCACGTCCACGTCCATGTCCACGTCCACCTCCACGTCCACGTCCACGTTCACGTCCACGTCCACGTCCATGTCCACGTCCAAGTCGTCCACGTCCACGTCCACGTCCACGTCCACATCCATGTCCATGTCCACGTCCATGTCCACGTCCATGTCCACGTCCACGTCCACGTCCACGTTCATGTCCACGTCCACGTCCACGTCCATCTCCATGTCCATGTCCACGTCCACGTCCACGTCCATGTCCATGTCCACGTCCACTTCCACGTCTACGTCCACGTCCATGTCCACGTCCATGTCCTCCACGTCCACGTCCACGTCCATGTCCACGTCCACGTCCACGTCCACGTCCACGTCAACGTCCACGTCAACGTCCACGTCCACGTCCACGTCCATGTCCATGTCCACGTCCAAGTCATCCACCTCCACGTCCATGTCCACGTCCATGTCCACGACCACGTCGACGTTTATGTCCACGTCCACCTCCACGTCCACCTCCACGTCCACGTCCAAGTCCTCCACGTCTAAGTCCACGTCCACGTCCACGTCCACGTACACGTCCACGTCCACGTCCATGTCCACGTCTACGTCCACGTCCACGTCCACGTCCATGTCCACGTCCATGTCCACGTCCACGTCCACGTCCACGTCCACGTCCACGTCCATGTCCACGTCCACGTCCACGTCCACGTCCACGTCCACGTCAACGTCCACGTCAACGTCCACGTCCACGTCCACGTCCATGTCCACGTCCACGTCCAAGTCCTCCACCTCCACGTCCACGTCCACGTCCATGTCCACGACCACGTCGACGTCCATGTCCACGTCCACCTCCACGTCCACCTCCACGTCCACGTCCAAGTCCTCCACGTCTAAGTCCACGTCCACGTCCACGTCCACGTACACGTCCACGTCCACGTCCACGTCCATGTCCACGTCCACGTCCACGTCCATGTCCACGTCCACGTCCACGTCCATGTCCACGTCCACGTCCACGTCCACATCCAGGTCCACGTCCACGTCCATGTCCACGTCCATGTCCACGTCCACGTCCACGTCCATGTCCACGTCCACGTCCACGTCTACGTCCACGTCCATGTCCACGTCCATGTCCTCCACGTCCACGTCCATGTCTACGTCCACGTCCACGTCCATGTCCACGTCCACGTCCACGTCCATGTCCACGACCACGTGCACGACCACGTCCACGTCCACGACAATGTCCACGTCCACGTCCACGTCCACGTCCATGTCCACGTCCATGTCCACGTCAACGTCCAGGTCCACGTCCAGGTCCACGTCCATGTCCACGTCCACGTCCACGTCCACGTCCATATCCATGTCCACGTCCACGTCCACGTCCACGTCCATGTCCATGTCCACGTCCATGTCCACGTCTACGTCCACGTCCACGTCCACGTTTACGTCCACGTCCACGTCCACGTCCACGTCCATGTCCAAGTCAACGTCCACGTCCACGTCCACGTCCACGTCAAGGTCCACTTCCCTGTCCACGTCCACGTCCACGTCCACGTCCATGTCCACGACCACGTGGACGTCCATGTCCACGTCCACTTCCATGTCCACGTCAACGTCCACGTCCACGTCCACGTCCACGTCAACGTCCACGTCCACGTCCATGTCCACGTCCACCTCCACGTCCACGTCCACGTCCACGTCCACGTCCACGTCCATGTCCACGTCCAAGTCCTCCACGTCTACGTCCACGTCCACGTCTACGTCCACGTACACGTCCACGTCCACGTCCAGGTCCACGTCTACGTCCACGTCCACGTCCACGTCCATGTCCACGTCCACGTACACGTCCACGTCCACATCCACGTCCACGTCCACGTGCATGTCCACGTCAACGTCCACGTCCACATCCACGTCCACGTCCAGGTCCACTTCCCTGTCCACGTCCACGTCCACGTCCACGTCCACGTCCACGTCCACGTCCATGTCCACGACCACGTGGACGTCCATGTCCACGTCCACTTCCATGTCCACGTCAACGTCCACGTCCACGTCCACGTCCACGTCCATGTCCACGTCCACCTCCACGTCCACGTCCACGTCCACGTCCACGTCCACATCCATGTCCACGTCCAAGTCCTCCACGTCTACGTCCACGTCCACGTCCACGTCCAGGTCCACGTCCACGTCCACGTCCACGTCCATGTCCACGTCCACGTACACGTCCACGTCTACGTCCAGGTCCAGGAGCGTGTTTGGTCCTTCAGCGCTTCGGCTTCACGTACTCCTCGCCTCAGGCCACTCCTCTGCCTACTCGCCACTCGCTCTCAGCTCTGCCTTCGGATGAGTCCGTAGAGTCGAGTGGCCCGTACCCAGAGCTTGTTGGCTGCCTCATGTACCTGATGACCTGCACACGACCTGACCTTGCATACCCTCTTAGCATTTTCGCACGCTATGTTGCTCCTGGGAGACACCGACCAGAGCACATGGCTGCAGCGAAGAGGGTGTTGCGCTACTTGTGCGGTACGTCGGGCATGGGACTAGTGCTTGGAGGGCGCAGTCCAGTGGTCCTTACTGGGCACGCAGACGCTTCTTGGGCTGACGACCAGGCTACGCAGCGGTCGTCACAGGGTTACACCTTCAGCCTTGGTTCCGGCTCTGTTTCGTGGCGGGCTACTCGCTCGTCTTCTGTTCTCGGCTCCAGTTGTGAGGCTGAGATCTACGCTGGGGCCATGGCTGCACAGGAGCTTCGCTGGCTCACCTACCTGCTGACTGACCTTGGAGAGCCGCCTCGTTCTCCTCCAGTGCTGTACGTAGACAACAAGGCCATGCTGGCCTTGTGTCGAGAGCAACGACTCGAGGACAGAACAAAGCACATTGCTCTCCGCTACTTTCTTCCTCGTGAGCTACAGCAGCGTGGAAAGTTGCGGCTTGCGTACGTGGCCTCTGAGGCCAACACTGCTGATGTTTTCACCAGGGCACTTCCGCCTTGTGATCATCAGCGCTTCTGCACTCAGTTGGGTCTTGTCCATGTCTTGCCTCACTTGCTCACCTCTTGACCTTGCTTGTACTGTTACATATATATATACCTGCTCTTGCTTGTCTAGCCTTATATATATATGTACTCCTGCATGTGAACTGGCCTTGTGGCCTTGTACTTGTTCTCGGAATGTGTGGTGACTTTGTGATCCACCCTGAGCTTTGCTTTGTTTTGCTTTGCTTGACTGGTCTTGTGACCCCCTGTTCTCCCCCACTTTGCCTATGGGGGTGTGTAAGAACATTATAGCTTATGCTTTTGTGTAGGCTGTAGTGGGGTATCCCATAGGGGGTACAACCCAATTAGGGTTAGTACTTGTACCCACTTCATTCATAGTTCATCCATTCTCGTTTCAGTTTTCTCACAAGGGCCTAGCGTGTGCAAAATTGGAAGAACAAGGTCCTAGCGTGTGCAAAATTGCAAGAACAAGGGCCTAGCGTATGCAAAATTGCAAGAATAAGGTCCTAGCGAGTGCAAAATTGCAAAAACAAGGGCCTAGCGTCTGCAAAATTGCAAGAACAAGGGCCTAGCGAGTGTGAAATTGCAAGAACAAGGGCCTAGCGTGTGCAAAATTGCAAGAACAAGGGCCAAGCGTGTGCAAAATTGCAACAACAAGGGCCCATCGAGTGCAAAATTGCAAGAACTAGGGCCCAGCGAGTGCAAAATTGCAAGAACAAGGGCGCAGCGAGTGCAAAATTGCAAGAACAATGGTCCAGCGAGTGCAAAATTGCAAGAACAAGGGCCTAGCGAGTGCAAAATTGCAAGAACAAGTGCCAGGCGAGTGCAAAATTGCATGAACAAGGGCCCATCGAGTGCAAAATTGCAAGAACAAGAGCCTAGCGTGTGCAAAAGTGTAAGAACAAGGGCCTAGCGAGTGCAAAATTGCAAGAACAAGGGCCTAGTGTGTGCAAAATTGCAAGAACAAGGGCCCAGCGTGTGCAAAATTGCAAGAACAAGGGCACTTCGTGTGCCAAATTGCAAAAACAAGGGCCCAACGTGTGCAAAAATGCAACAAGGGCTTAGGGTGTACAAATTTGCAAGAACAAGGGCCCAGCGAGTGCAAACATGCAAGAACAAGGGCCCAGCGTGTGCAAAATTGCAAGAACAATGGCCCAGCGTGTGTAAAAATGCAAGAACAAGGGCCTAGCGTGTGCAAAATTGCTAGATTAAGGGCCCTGCGTGTGCAAAATTGCAAGAACAAGGGCCTAGCGTGTGCAAAATTGCAAGAACAAGGGCCTAGCGTGTGTAAAATTGCAAGAACAAGGTCCTAGCGTGTACAAAATTGCAAGAACAAGGTCCTAGTGTGTGCAAAATTGCAAGAACAAGGGCCCAGCGAGTGCAAAATTGCAAGAACAAGAGCCTAGCGTGTGCAAAAGTGCAAGAACAAGGGCCTAGCGAGTGCAAAATTGCAAGAACAAGGGCCTAGCGTGTGCCAAATTGCAAGAACAAGGGCCCAGCATGTGCAAAATTGCAAGAACAAGGGCACTGCGTGTGCCAAATTGCAAGAACAAGGGCCCAACGTGTGCAAAAATGCAACAACAAGGGCTTAGGGTGTACAAATTTGCAAGAACAAGGGCCCAGCGAGTGCAAACATGCAAGAACAAGGGCCCAGCGTGTGCAAAATTGCAAGAACAATGGCCCAGCGTGTGTAAAAATGCAAGAACAAGGGCCTAGCGTGTGCAAAATTGCTAGAACAAGGGCCCAGCGTGTGCAAAATTGCAAGAACAAGGGCCTAGCGACTGCAAAATTGCAAGAACAAGGGCCTAGCGTGTGCAAAATTGCAAGAACAAGGGCCCAACAAGTGCAAACTTGCAAGAACAAGGGCCCACCGAGTGCAAAAATGCAAGAACAAGGGCCCAGCAAGTGCAAAATAGCAAGAACAAGGGCCCAGCGTATGCAAAATTCCAAGAACAAGGGCCCTGCGAGTGCAAAATTTCAAAAATAAGGGCCCAGCGAGTGCAAAATTGCAAGAACAAGTGCCCAGTGTGTGCAAAATTGCAAGAACAAGGGCCTAGCGAGTGCAAAACTGCAAGAACTAGGGCCCAGCGAGTGCAAAATTGCAAGAACAAGGGCATAGCGTGTGCAAAATTGCTAGAACAAGGGCCCAGGGTGTGCAAAATTGCAAGAACAAGGGCCTAGCGAGTGCAAAATTGCAAGAACAAGGGCCAAGCGAGTGCAAAATTGCAAGAACAAGGGCCTAGCATATGCAAAATTGCAAGAACAAGAGCCCAACGAGTGCAAAATTGGAAGAACAAGGGCCCAGCGTGTGCAAAATTGCAAGAACAAGGGCCCTGCGTGTGCAAAATTGCAAGAACAAGGGCCCTGCGTGTGCGAAATTGCAAGAACAAGGGCCTAGCAAGTGCAAAATTGCAAGAACAAGGGCCTAGGGAGTGCAAAATTGCAAGAACAAGTGCCTAGCGAGTGCAAATTTGCAAGAACAAGGGCCTAGAGTGTGCGAAATTGCAAGAACAAGGTCCTAGCGTATGCACAATTGCAAGAACAAGGGCCCAGCGAGTGCAAAATTTCAAGAACAAGAGCCTTGCATGTGCAAAATTGCAAGAACAAGGGCCTAGCGAGTGCAAAATTGCAAGAACAAGGGCCCAGCGAGTGCAAAATTGCAAGAACAAGGGCCTAGCGTATGCAAAATTGCAAGAACAAGGTCCCTGCGAGTGCAAAATTGCAAGAACAAGGGCCTAGCATATGCAAAATTGCAAGAACAAGGGCCCATCGAATGCAAAATTGCAAGAACAAGGGCCTAGCGTGTGCAAAATTGCAAGAACAAGGGCCTAGCAAGTGCAAAATTGCAAGAACAAGGGCCTAGCTTGTGCAAAACTGCAAGAACAAGGGCCCAGCGTGAGCAAAATTGCAAGAACGAGGGCCCACCGAGTGCAAACTTGCAAGAACTAGGGCCCAACGAGTGCAAAATTGCAAAAACAAGGGCCTAGCGTGTGCGAAAATTCTAGAACAAGGGCCCAGCGTGTGCAAAATCGCAAGAACAAGGGCCTAGCGAGTGCAAAATTGCAAGAACAAGGGCCCAACAAGTGCAAAATTGCAAGAACAAGGGCCCAACGTGTGCAAAATTGCAAGAACAAGGGCCTAGCGTGTGCAAAATTGCAAGAACAAGGGCCCAGCGTGTGCAAAATTGCAAGAACAAGGGCACTGCGTGTGCAAAATTGCAAGAACAAGGGCCCAGCGTGTGCCAAATTTCAAAAACAAGGGCCCAACGTGTGCAAAAATGCAACAACAAGGGCTTAAGGTGTACAAATTTGCAAGAACAAGGGCCCAGCGAGTGCAAACATGCAAGAACAAGGGCCCAGCGTGTGCAAAATTGCAAGAACAATGGCCCAGCGTGTGTAAAAATGCAAGAACAAGGGCCTAGCTTGTGCAAAATTGCTAGAACAAGGGCCCAGCGTGTGCAAAATTGCAAGAACAAGGGCCTAGGGTGTGCAAAATTGCAAGAACAAGGGCCTAGCGTGTGCAAAATTGCAAGAACAAGGTCCTAGTGTGTGCAAAATTGCAAGAACAAGGGCCCAGCGAGTGCAAAATTGCAAGAACAAGAGCCTAGCGTGTGCAAAAGTGCAAGAACAAGGGCCTAGCGAGTGCAAAATTGCAAGAACAAGGGCCTAGCGTGTGCCAAATTGCAAGAACAAGGGCCCAGCATGTGCAAAATTGCAAGAACAAGGGCACTGCGTGTGCCAAATTGCAAGAACAAGGGCCCAACGTGTGCAAAAATGCAACAACAAGGGCTTAGGGTGTACAAATTTGCAAGAACAAGGGCCCAGCGAGTGCAAACATGCAAGAACAAGGGCCCAGCGTGTGCAAAATTGCAAGAACAATGGCCCAGCGTGTGTAAAAATGCAAGAACAAGGGCCTAGCGTATGCAAAATTGCTAGAACAAGGGCCCAGCGTGTGCAAAATTGCAAGAACAAGGGCCTAGTGACTGCAAAATTGCAAGAACAAGGGCCTAGCATGTGCAAAATTGCAAGAACAAGGGCCCAACAAGTGCAAACTTGCAAGAACAAGGGCCCACCGAGTGCAAAAATGCAAGAACAAGGGCCCAGCGAGTGCAAAATAGCAAGAACAAGGGCCCAGCGTATGCAAAATTGCAAGAACAAGGGCCCTGCGAGTGCAAAATTTCACAAACAAGGGCCCAGCGAGTGCAAAATTG